TATGTATGTATGTATGTATGTATGTATGTATGTATGTATGTATGTATGTATGTATGTATGTATGTATGTTTGTATATATAATGTTTGTGCGTGAGGAAACAGGTGAGTAACAGTCTTGGTCCAACGTCAGCGCAAAATGGTTTGGCCTTGCGTCCACCTGGTCTTCCAATTCTTCAGGGTCATCAACAGCGTTCCATGTCTAAGATCGTTGAAGGGGCTCGAAATTTCTAATTTCCCTCCGCAATTAGATGTACTGAGAATTTACCGCTCCATTTGGAACGCAGTCGCCCCTCTATAACGACTACGCATTATCCAAGTCCCTACAAAGTTTTCCTCGTATTTATTTTCTAGATTTTTCCAAATGCCTTCTGTGCAGAGCAGTTCCTTGTGCTCACTCTGGATAGTTCATTATGTTGATTTTCTGAACTAGATGTATGTAGCTGCAGAAATCACAAATGTTTCGATCAATCGAAAGAACAGATAGATGAGTTTGGGGAAACGTTGAATGGGCAATTTTTGGAAAGTGAGAAACTCGCTGAGGGGATTCGTTCTCTCTACCGAGCATTGATCCTCTAACGACTGCTTCATCTCATCTTCGCTGCTTCCATTATGGAGTAACAAACGAGCCTACACGCCAGTAAAACCTTTCCTCCAATCTTTAGATACATCGTCAGCCCTCAATGATTTTATTTGGTGTGGATATCATTCAGGACCTGGTGACAGACGAAAAAATTGTCCATCAGAACAAATCTTAAACGTAAAACCTCCATTCCTACATCTGAGAGACGTTCGGAAATGGATGCGATTGAAGCGGCCACAGTTGGCTTCTGCACTACGACGCTCAAAATCATGAGCCAGAGACTGAATGTTTGTTTTTCAAAGCGGAACAGCATCAGGTTCGAAAATCATACCTTTTTCAGACATCGGAACCTCCAGAGGAGACTACACCAAACGCTTTTCAACTAGCAGGATGGGAGACAGATGACAAAGGGAATGTGTTTGTCGGTACCGACGACGCCAAGTTGCTACTGATCTCTGTCGGCTCCTACTGGCCGTTCCCAAAGGATTACCGTAAATAAAAAACTGTCTCCAGACTTGCTTAGAGATACTATCCAGTAGTCATTAAAATAATTCGATGGAAACCAGTGAATGGCTGCTTTCATAGACCGCGATCCGGCCTGCGAGCGTGCGAGGAAGCGCGCAGGCCGCGGGAGTACGCGGCCGGCGGTATCGGCCAGATTGCGGACTATGAAAGCAGCCAATGGGG